CGGGTGATTGAAGGACAAGACACAGGCGCGACAATGATGAGAAACATACTCTACAAAAGTTATAATGAGCCTGCAGGAGGGGTGCTGTGCACAGGGGTGGGAGTCACAGAGCCCACCCACCCCAGCACAGGGAGAGCAGGGAGGGGCTGAGGCAGTGCACAACCAGGAGCAGGAGAGAAGGGCAGGACCTGGGGCTCCGAGGAAGTCGAGTCGGCACTTGGGGGTGGCCCCAGGCTCAGGCCCAGAGAACAGGGAGGAAGACTGAGGTGGGCTCAGGGTGGCAGTGGCAGGCAGCCAAGCCCTCCGTGTGGGCCGGGGCCATGGACCACTTCCATCGCGCCCCAGCTCTGGGCATGTGTGGACGGGGCCCACACACAGGCACAGACACCCAAAGGGAGGCCTGTGGCATTCTTTGGGGTTCTTTCCCTGCCCCAGCCAGGGGGCCCCAGAAAGGAGTGGGGGGGGGGCTGTGGCAGTGCTCCCAGCAGAAGCTGAAGGTCAGGGATGGGGTCCATTGCATGGGGGTATGTATGTGCACACATTGTGTGGGCTCCTGCGTGGCTCTCCCACATCTGTGACCTTGGTCTGGCTGAAGAGCTCGGAGGACACCTGTCTCAGGACCCTCTGGGGCTGGCCCTTCTCCTGATCTCACCACCATCACAGAGCAGGGCACCCGCTGAGCCCTCGCCCACCTGCTATTCATGTAGAACATGCAGCCTCCCAGCCACTTCCAGACCTTGAGGGAAATCCACCAACCAACCCCCAACACAGGCACACAGAGCCCCAGGGACCTGGGGGAAGTCAGCAGCTTAGGTCATCTGCACCCCCAGGCTGCTCCAGTGTCCACACGACAGGACTGCCCACGCCCGGCTGGACACCCTGCCTCGCCCAGTCTCCCTCCACCGTCTCAGGCCTGGGGGCCATAATACTGCAGCCGGTTACTCTAGCACCTTGCGCCTACTGCCCTGACCCTCTGGGGTCCCTGGGGGGCCAGGCTACACAACCAAGGGGAGGAAGGTGGAGGACAGGGAGGGAGGCAGAGTCAGGCTGGGCTCCGCCGCAGGGTGAGCTGGGAAGGGCACCAGTCACCCCCACACTCCAGCCTGGCACTCCAGCTCCCCAGCGTGGCCAGTGGAGGAGAAGGGGACTGGCTGTGCCGGAGCAGGGTGGGGGCAGAAGTCAGGGCATTTGGCTGAAGAGTCCAGCCAGGACCTCTTCTCTGGGGGTTGGGGGAGGGGAGGGAGCCCAAACTCTTCCCTTCACAAAAATGTAGGACTCGAGCAAGTGTCCAGCCTGGGCAACGGGATCCTCAGAGGAGGGATGGGGAGACAGCAGCCAGGGACAGGCTGTGCCCACCCCTCACCCACCCACTCCCACCGCTCTAACGGGCACGTATGTCATCTAGTCCCTGGGGCCTCCTGCAAATCCACATGTCCTTTAGGGCCACTCAAGTGGGGGTGGCTCAAGGGCTCCAGGACCCTTCTGGGCACCTCCAGGCCACACGCTCAGCTTCAGAGTGTGGGCAGGATTTCAAGGGAGACGACCCACATGGTCCTTGCCCCTGGGGAGGGGCCCCGGGGGCTGCAGGGCTGGCAGCTGTGAGGACTTCGTGGCCCCACTGTGGGTTGTGGCAACTTGCAATTCATTTTGGTCTGGGGAGAGAAGTCCCCCCGTTATCTGTAGAGAAAGAGACAGAAATAGGCCTCAGATAAGAGCCTTTGAGACATTCTAAACCAAGACTAGCCGTTTTGACAACTTACCATCTCTGGGCAGGCTGATGGTCAGGCATGGGGACCCTTGCCTAGGGGTGCCCACCCCATACCCCAAACTCTAAACCAGATGCCTCCCCACATCCACCTCTGCCCAGACATGTAGGGTAAGGGCCACAGACACCAAAAGGGCTTGTGGAACGCCATGAGGGAGGGGTGGGGCAGCGATGGGCCACAGCACTGCCAGTGTGGCAGCAGCCTCGAGCTCCCCACCATGGCTTTTGGAAAGTGCGTGACAGCTTGGCCCTTCGTGGGGGTCACTAGTCCCCAGGCTTCAGAGTCGCATAGTCAAGGGGTCAAGCCCAGCTCGGCACTGAGCAGCAGCAGGCTCGTGGGGTGAGCGACTCTAACCCTCTGAGCCTCCACTTGCTCGCCTGGAGAATGGGGGTGGTCGATGCGGCCCTGCAGTTGGGAGTGGGAGACGATTAAGTGAAAGCACGCGCGTGCCAAGGGCGTCTGCGGCAGCTGGGAGTCGGGAGGGCTCAAAGCATCCTGGCTGGCCCTGGCGCCCGAGGCCCAGCGGTTAGTGTGGGACCGCCCACCGCCGGGCCTCGGGTGTGATTCCCGGTTAAGGGCCTGCACCTGCCCAGGTACATCCTGGGGCACCTGTGGCGGCGCTCAGTCAGTGTGTCTCGCTTCGGTGTTTCTCTCTCCCTCTTTCTCTCCCTCCCTCCCTTCCACTCTCTCTAAAAATCAACGGAAAAAAATATCCTCCAGTGAGGATTAACAACAAAAAAAAACAAAAACCAAAAATCCCAGCTGTGACCACTGTGACCACTGTGTCTCATCCAGAGTAAGACACCCACGTCCCCACACTTCGGTGTATCCAAAATCGAGGTGCACTGTACTCTCGCTCTGATAAGAAAGCCTTGTGTCTTCACCAGAGTGGCAGCTTCCTTTTCCGAACTGAGGGTAAGGAAAATAAGTGGGGCCTCTTGTCACTGATGGCGACTTCGGTTCTTAGGAAATGTGGTTATAATCCCTCACTCCCGGGACCGGCAGGCCCCTCCCGGCGCAGCCCGCTTCCCCCATTCCCCCAGGGCGAGGCACTCACAGCTCGGTGTCCTCCAGCGCGGGTGGGCGCTCCAGCGCCTGCCTCCGCCTGCGCACGGCCCCCAGGATCTTCTTGCGGGACCCCAGGGGGACGCTGATGCTGCGGAGGTCGAGGTCCGAGCACAGCGTCAATGCTTCCAGGTCGATCTTCTCCTGCCGCAGGAGCGGGGCGAAGTCCTCCATGTGCAGGGAGGCCAGGAAGGTCTCCAGAGGGCTTGTCTCGGGCTCCAGGTCCTCATCGAGGCCCAGGTCCAGCTCGTCCCAGGGCAGCTCCTCGGCGCAGCTGCGGTCCTGCAGGCTGTTGGCACTGCCCAGGCTGTCATCGTCCAGGCTGGGGGAGCTCTGCAGCCGGCCCCGTGGCGTGCCCGCGCCCTCCGGCGCCGCGTCTTCCCGGCCCAGCCCATGCAGCCCGCTGCTCAGGTAGTTCCTGCGGAACACCATGGTGCCCAGGCCCGGGCGGGTAAACAGAGAGTCGTGGCCGGAGTCGGTGCTGACCTCCGAGTGGGCAGGCTCGGCCGCCAGTGTGGCACGGGAGACGCTGTCCTCGTCGGAGAGGAACATGTCCCGGAGCGGGGAGCGACCCCACTCCTTGGGGTTGGCGTAGGTGCCCTGGCGCACGAACATCACGTCGCTGCCCAGCTGCAGGCCCGAGAGCGAGCGCACGCTCTTGCGGCCGTCCTCCGAGATCTTGAAGGTGCCCTCGCCGCCCTGCTTGCGCCGCTCCAGCTTGCGCTGGATCTTGGTCTTGCCCCGGTTGGTGCCGTGCAGGGTGGCCTGCGAGTAGGGCAGCTGGCTGCCCAGCGCCAGGTGCTGCAGCCGGCGGCTCAGGGTGCTGGACGTGAGGCTGGAGAAGCTGAGCGTGTCGGAGCGCTCGGCCAGCTCGCGCCGGTAGCGCCGCTCCATGCGCTCGTGGTGCCTGCGCTGCATCTTGGCGCACTCGCGGATGCGCCGCTCCGCCTCGCGGAACGCCTTGTCCTTCAGCTTGCCCACCAGCTTGGGGTTGAGGCCGCTCTGCTTGGCCGCGATGGAGTCCAGGTAGCGCACGCACTCCATGTGGCCCTTCATGGCGGCCATGTCCAGCGGGGTGTGGTAGTCGTTGTCCAGGCACCAGATGTTGGCCCCGAAGGACACCAGGAAGGAGAGGCAGTGCAGGTGGCCATTGGAAGCTGCCAGGTGCAGGGGCGTGTTGCCCCAGATGTCACACTTGTCCGGGTCGCCCCTGCGGGGAGAACGCGGGGAGAGACCCGAGGAGCCGTCGCAGCTCAGGCAGGCAGTCCGCGGTGGCTGCAGGTGGCTCCCCGCAGACTCGCCAGGGGGACCCGAGGGCCTGAGATCTCTGCTCTGACTCCAGGAGACACGCAGCCCTGAGCCGCTAGACGTACTTAGAATGGCCCCAGGTGCGCAGGGGGTGGGGCGACAGAGAAGGCGGGGACAGGGCGGGGCCTTCCCCAAGAGGACCGAGGGCTGGGAATCTCAGGGCATAAATAATTGATGCCCAGAGAGAAAGGGGTGAATTATTCATGGGGCCCGGTGGGGAGCTGGCCCAGAGAGGTGGTGGGCCAGGGCGAGTCTGGGTCTCTCGGCAGGCGTGGCGGCCAGCGCGGCCGCATGTGCAGGAGTGACGTAAA